AAATACAATATTTAAAATGAAGAACAAGTAAAGTTAAATCAACAAACTTGCCAGTATTTCAATGGGAACTATGGGCCTGCTTTTGGCTAATGAGATGGTCAATTTCCGGTTCCATATTTGTCACTGCGAGTCGTAACAAGTGATGCAAGTGTGCATCCGTTAGTCTAGATCTAGTTGGAGATTTCAAATGTTTCATTCTGGAAAAAGTTTGTTCACAGACATAAGCGCTGCCAAAGATGGTTGCCATTTTGAGTGCATGGTTCCTGAGATGAGGATATGTCTCAGAGGGGAGAAATGCATAGAAATTATGAAGGCTGCTTGACTTGAATGCGTCTTTCAGAGAGTCACAATTCTGCAGTTCAGCCAGTTCCATTTGGTAAATTGTATCCACATTTTCAATGTCAATAGAAAATGGGTTACGGAAAAGCTGTATGTCCTGTTCATGGAGATGAAGCTCTTTAAATATAAATTGGAACTCCTTTTGCAAATTTTTCCAGTGAATCCACACATGTTTTGTTTGGGAATGCAACCAATGGTTTTTCCGCTAACAGAGTTTGAGTTGTGGGGAGATGGCAGAAGTTTTCCTCCTTCACTTGTTTGATGAGGAGGCCTAATTTTACTTCAAATGCTTTGACATGTGATTGCATATCACAGATGAGCTTCCCCTTTCCTTGAAGTTGCACATTGAAACTGTTGAGTAGCTCTGTTACATCTGTCAGAAAGGCAAGGTGCCATTTCCATTCTGAATCATTGAGCTCTGGTACTTCTTCGTTTTTTGAAAACAGAAAAGCTGTAATCTGTGGAAGTAAGTCATAGAAACGTTTCAAAACTCTCCCTCGACTCAGCCAACGGACTTCTGTGTGGTACAGAACATCTTCATAGTCAACATTTAGCTCAGACAGAAATTCCTGAAATTGTCTGTGGTTTAGTGCATGAGCTCTAATGAAGTTAACAGAGTCCCACTTCAGTGATTTACTACACAGCGCTTGTTGGTGGATGAGGCAGTGTATGGCTATTGGATGAGAATGGTTATGTTTGTCCATCTCTTGGTTAATGCGAGCAATTACTCCTTTCTTAGACCCCACCATGCTAGGAGCACCATCAGTTGTCACACTGGCTAGTTTAGCCCAGTTCAGCTCCAAACCATTCACAGTTTGGCAAACCTTTTCATAGATATCCTCTCCTGTAGTTGTTCCTGTGATGCTTTGCAGTGCAGCAAGCTCTTCTGTGACTTCGAAATAGTCATTCGTCCCACGAATAAAAATGAGAAGTTGTGCAGAATCACGAACATCATTGCTTTCGTCGAGTGCCAAGGAAAAATAGGAAAGTTTTTTTGCGGAGTTTTGCAAATGCTGAAAGAAATTGTCTCCCATTTCTTCAATCCTCCGTGTAATTGTAGGTCCTGAAAGACTCACTGTACTAAATAAATCGGCCTTCTCTGGACACATCTCTTTGGCAACAGAAAGAAGGCATTCCTTAACAAATTCTCCCTCCACGAATGGTCTGCCAGTGCACACTATTAGCTTGGCAACTTGAAAACTTGCTCGCAGTGATGAAATATTTAGCTGCTTCTGCTTCACAAAAGTATTTTGCTGAGTTGTTAATGTATTTTTCAGTTTTAATATTTTATCTTTTCTCACTTCTCCGACCAAACAATCATATTTATCTTTATGTTGAGTTTCATAGTGTCGACGTAAATTGTATTCTTTGAACACAGACACTATATTCTGGCATATCAGACACACAGCTCTTTCCTTGTACTGCATGAAAAAGTAATCATAAGTCCACTGTTTTTTGAATATCCTACACTCCGAGTAAATTTTTATCTTTCCTGACATCATTGTTTCCTAGGGAGTCAATATTGCTATTAGTAAAATACCAATATATATACAGCGCTACAAAAACAATATACCAGCAATAACTTTGCCCACACAGAGACATACAGACTGCACTGCCCATCAATGCAGTCTGATTGGGGGAACTCCGCTTTTACCCCAGGCTCACACTGGTGCGGGTGCCATTAAAAAGTTAATTACACCTGCAGTTTTGTTCACAGATCGCAGTGCAGCCAAATCAGTGCTCACCACCGCAGCCCAATCAGTGCCCACCACCGAACCCCAATGAGTGCTCACCAGCGCAGCCCAATTAGTGCTCACCAGCGCAGCCCAATTAGTGCTCACAAGCGCAGCCCAATAAGTGACCATGGGCCGGATAAATGCCCTCGGTGGGCCGCATGTGGCCCGCGGGCCGTAGTTTGAGGACCCCTGGTTTAGTGGTTAGGAATAGGGTAAGGGTTTATTAGTTAAGATTACTTTTAGGGAGTTAGGGTTTAGAGTTATGGATTAGGGCTATATGGTTGAGGTGGCTAATTGTTAATTACATATTAGGGTCAGGGCTCAAGGATATATGTGCACAATTCACGTGATGCACTCTTGTGGACAAATGCACAACTACATTACATGTGTAGTGACGCATATCGGAGACTAATACTTGGAGGCACCCTATGTGGGTGCACACACAACCGTCTATTGTCGGCGGCACTATCTAGCGAAACAGTTGGCAGGCGGTCGAGCTAGCGATGCCCCAGTGATGGTGAAGACGGCGGCGATGGTGGTGACGAACAGCAGCACGGCGAGGGGATCCACTTTTAGCAACAGCCTTGAGCTCTCGCTCTTATGCTCCCAGCGTGGCCTTGATCCGCCCTCACCATACCCCCCCAACTGGAACCTACTAGCAGGTCCCCGGGGCTTCCAGATAGCCCCCTGCATGAGTTTTGCCAAGATATTTTATCCCTCGTATATACCGTACCGTCGTCTCTCGACGTGCGTACTGCCATACCTTGTAGTTGCACTTTGTAGACAGCAGCCAGCGCTATTGCACTAGACAAGGAACAAAATAGCCGAGCAGGTGGGAAGGGGACCTAGTCGGATGAGGACGCCACCGCCTCATTGGCTAAAAAACATTATCAACATGGACATCCGTAAATAACCGAACCAACATGGATGCCCTATAAATTAAGCCTATTCCATTGCAGCACCAACGTTTTGGAACAACGTTGTTTACCTCCATTAGCATCGCTAAGCTTCCTTCAAAACATTCTGAAGCAGAAGATTAGTGCTGGACACAACCACAAATGTTATTGGTAACTTTAAATTGTAATGTGCAATTATATTTAGGTACTGTGTTGTCTTGATTTGGAATTGGGCTGTTTTTCTGTTGTTTTTCTGCCTTGACCACGCTTGGGAATTGCAAGTCTATTCGTATCTATTTGAGTTCCTGGATCTCGAGGTAACTATGAGGTTATATGAGTTAACGAGTCTCTCTGTGAGTCTATGAGTTTCTGTATGCTAGAGTTAGACACACAGTGTTGTCACCATGTCCACCTCTCATGCAGCTGGCTTGATACAAGAATAACTTTTCCATGAGTTGTCATCACCTTGAGACGTTGGAATGTGGAATTAACATATTCCATGGCCACCAAAAGAGGCAAACGACTGCTATTATTTGTTTGAAGATCGACTTGAGTTTGCCTCTAGACTTTGGGTAGCTATAGCCAATACAACACAAAGTGTCTTCATGAAGCATCGAGATGCATCTCATCATTCTCATTGCCAATCAGCCCTTTGTCAATCCACTGTGATATCAAGGCGTCCCCGTGCCATATCGGTCATGTTCGTTCTTTGACCGTAGTCCATCACCACGCTGTTCATTTGTTCATGAATACAATTTGTAACGCACACACACATTAAACTTTGTAAGGACATTGAGGGGCCGGCGAGAGAATAAAAAAGGATAAATTTATTTACATTCTGACAAAAGGTTCATCTGATGGCCAGGTTAAACGAGAGAGGGACTGGAGGCGCACAGGACAGATTAATATGTCACTCCCCATTGGTGCAAACCGTGGTCCAGAATCGAACTCATGTTAACGGCTGGGTACACAGTGAAGTGCACTAACCGCTGTGTAGTCAGTCCTGCTCAATTGGCATGTTTGGCCAAGCCCATTTATGAGTCTTTATGTAGGAGGAAAAAAGAGAAGTTGGAGAAAATCTCACATTTGGGTCTCACATACCGATTCATAAATAAACTTGCTCTATTGCAATCACCTGGTAAGCTTGCAGCCCAACGTTTTTGGGATTTTCACAAAATACGTGTCTCCACCAACACTTTCCTCTACAGCACTGGATCACAGGCGTGAACTTATTATGCCCTGTTGCTTATGTTTTTGTTACTGATTATTTTGCTGCTGTCACTCAGAATATTTATCCTGGAGAAATCTGCAGAGCTATTATGCTCTTTAATAGACTGTTGACGATGACGAAATTGATATTACGGAAGAGCAGAGCAAGTACCCTATAGTGGAGGCAGTGGCATGGGCAGGTAATTTTAGGGCTACACCTTTGCCATTTTTACCACCACAGGGCCATTCTGTCACTCAAATCCAATCACCACCAACATTATCCTTGGCTGCGCGTACAGTTGGGTCTCCATCCGACTGTTGCAACTCCGTCCTTGATTTGCTCAACATCAAACATACTCAAACTCCAAAGGTCGCAAGGCAACCTCGCCCACATCATCCGCGGCCACTGTAAGCCTCGTCTACATTCCATACCTCCCTCGACTGGCTTCCTATCATCGCCGGCCGGGTCATTAACAAGTGTTGCGTTGTAAACTCACACGGAGACGAGGTTCACTGTAAGGGCTACTGCCGGTTTATTAACTACTACAACTCACGTACAGGACCACCAGATCACACCAGAGGAAGGTGCTTCTACACTTGGTACTTCCCGTGGACCGTCCCGGTACCCACTTCACTCCTCGGCATATTCTCCCCTAAGCCCCCGACTGGTCGAGCCCAGACGGGGGTCCCGGTGCCGAGCGGCGCGTCCTCCGCTCCTCTCGGCTCCCCACAACGACCCCGCCCCTCTGCCCGGGATCCCCCTTAAGCACCCCCTCCCCCTCTGGATAACATGACGTTCCCTATGACGTCATCCCACTCTTTCCTGCCGATGACCTCACTTCCTCCCACTCCTCCTCTACACAAGTATGCCGTACTCGTGCCATCACGCATTGACTTTGTGCGCATTATAAATTGCATGGGTAATCGAGTAATCGGTCTGTTGCCACATCCGCGGTGCTCATGGTTAGCAGCCTGCTTGCACTTATATGATTCTATGCTTTATATTACCTGCAATACACAGGGACGTTTGTTCAGGCCGTGACTTATTCTTTAGGCCCTGCCTGCTTACTGTACCCCACCCTCACAGATTTTAAGACGCGCTATGGCGAGGTGGCGAGACGTTATCTCCGTCGCCTGGGTTCGACCTCCACTCTGACCATGCCTGCTGTATATTTGTAGTTTGCATGTTTTCCTCGTGGTCACGTGGACTTTGTCTTATTTTTGCTCCACGCATTTCCTTTTTTAAGCCCCGCCTCTTTCCATTAGGCCACGCCCCTGGCACGCGACTCGGCTGCTCTGCCGTCGTGAAAGTGGTTTTGGGTAGGGAAACAGTGGGGGGTGGGGTTGCTTCACGACGACCAACATCCTTTAGAGCAGTGATCTCACAATACACGTTACGCAATATTTGTTTTATTATAATTTTGTAGAAATGGTAACGTTCAGTGCAGACATGATCTATGTTCCATTCAAAAGTCTTCATAACCATTTAATTTCCATACTTTGTGCTTCGTTTTCCAGCTTTTTCTTCATTCTTCTGTTTTGGTATCGGTCCGGGATGACAAAAAATACAATTACATACAAACATATACGTGACATATCAACATATTACTTTGTGTCTCTTCCATCACAAGAACTGGGAATGTAGGGTCCGAGGGGTGTACCTCGATATATGTTTGAGCTGCGTTCTTGAAAACCTTAACGCAAAGTGAAAGAGTGTATATCGAAACTTAATATCCCATAAGGTTCTATTAAAGAACATAAGATGGGTTTATAAGAATATTTTCTTACCCTAAACCTACGAATGTGACGCTTTTCAACACAACTAAGCTATTTTATGCACAACTATGGAGAATAACTATACAGGTCATTGAAAACAAATCTTGTGCATGGTAATTTACTAACTGGTGCACGTTGTGTGACTGGTGGTGAGGGTGAGGGAGGGGCAGTAGGTGAGGTGGTGAGTGGGAGGGTAAGGGAGGGGCAGTAGGTGAGGTGGTGAGGGTGAGTACGTGGTGAGGGAGGGGCAGTAGGTGAGGTGGTGAGGGTGAGGGAGGGGCAGTAGGTGAGGTGGTGAGTGGGAGGGTGAGGGAGGGGCAGTAGGTGAGTTGGTGAGGGTGAGTAGGATGGTGAGGGAGGGGCAGTAGGTGAGGTGGTGAGGGTGAGTAGGATGGTGAGGGAGGGGTCGTATTGTCTGCCCCCACTCTTGGGGAGTATGCAGTGTGTACAGTGTAAATCGTGGTGGAAGGTACAGTAGTATGAACTCCAAGGTTTGTTTACAACAATCGGTGAGGCTGTGAATCCCAGTGTCCAGGCACACAACCATATCACATGCACGCATGGGCAAAGGACAATAACGTGCATTAACTTAGGTATTCACCAAGTTTTTTTCCAAGCTCAATTGAAAAAAAACGTAATAACGAAACAAACGAGACATTAACTGCAAAGTATTAATTGATGGTGAACGTCGTAACGAATGGTTTCAAATCGAATGAACGTATATCAGGGTACACCTGTACGTATATCAATGGGGCAGGGCTAAAAATCAGGAATTCATTCTTTAAAATTTGTTTTTGAGGAAAAGCTCTCCCCCACTAAAGAGGGTGCAATACTTTACAGTATGAATTAAACGAAGGCAGGCCTACCTTTACAATCAAGACATAAAATATAAAAATGAAGGGACATAAATTTCGATTTAAAGCTTTCCTGACTGCAGGGATTCATCTTCTTGGTTCTTTCGGTAAAGTCACGTAGAATGGAAATAATAAAATAATAAAAATAAAACATAATAAAATAATTCTCACGACGTTTCGGCCACAACGCAAGCAGCCGTCCTCAGGTGAAGAACAGGTCTGTTCAGACGCTGTCTTTCTAACAGACTTGTTCTTCACCTGAGGACGGCTACTTGCGTTGTGGCCGTAACGTCGTGAGAATTATTTTATTATGTTTTATTTTTATTATTGTATTATTTCCATTCTACGTGACTTTACCGAAAGAACCAAGAAGATGAAGGGACATACTCTAGGAAAAGCTATAATAAAAAATGTGTCTTGTAGAAGAGTTTCCTGAACTGTTCGGTGCTCAGAGCCAATCTGAGGCCGGTGGACGAGAGTTCCCGAGCTGAGGCGCCACACTCGAGAGGGCCCTGCTAATCGCCTCGTGGAGAATGAAACATTCCAGGTTGAGCTAGCAGGGCCTGGCCTGGGGAGCACAGAAATACACCCACCAGACGTCTCGGGGGGCCAGACCGGACTGCAGGTACTGAGGACCAAGGCCGTTTTGAGCTTTGTAAGTCATTACAGCGAACTTAAATTGAATGCGATAGCTGACTGGTAGCCAATGTAGATCACGAAGGATTGGTTTTATGTGCTCAAAACGGCTAACACGTCTCAGCATGCGGGCAGCCACATTCTGTACCAGCTGCAGTTTCCGAGCCAGTCCACAATGGCAGCACAGCATACAAAGCGTGTCAGTAATCCAGACGCATTGACACAATGGCATGAACCACTTTTTCGAGATCACTAGCTGATAAGAGGGATCGCAGCACTCGGAGCACTCTTAGGTGATAAACCCCCGCTTTGGCCACAGATGCAACCTCAGGGCGCATGGTCAAGCTACGATCGAACAGTATACCTCGCGGTTATGCACCACTGTTACATTGAGTGGGCGTACTCCGTTAATTAATGGAGACTCAAGCTTCCCCTATCCCATCATCAGCCGACTCTCTGGCCCTACAATCATCAGCTCCGTCTTGTCAGGATTCAGTCATAGCCAGTTCTTCTGCATCCATGCACCTACCTCTGCCAGACAGTCTGTTAAGCAGTCGAGAGCTGCATCTGGGTCACTTGCGAATGAGACATATCTGGGTGTGATCGGCATACTGATGGCACTGCAAGCCGTGCCTCCAGTTTGAAGGGCCAATTGTTGCTGTGAGGAGTGAGTAAACACCATTGCACCACTCTCGCACCTAATATTCAACGTGGTGACAGTGAATACTGTGGAGAAGTGGGCAAGAGGGAAGTGGGTTCACGTATCCGGTTGTGTGGACGCTTGGGTGTTATCACCAAATTTTTTTTTTATGTGGCTTACCAGGAGATACTAGCCAGTACCTTCCTAAAAATAATCAGGAGGCTCAATGTGAAAAAGTGCTATTGTAACAATTTTGATATAATTTTAGTTGTACATTGTTATTATCTGGAGTAAAGGTTCTTACCTGTGTAGTAAGTATATGGAGGCTTGACGACAGGATCGGAGGCACACTTATTTATTACACCAACACAGTTATTACAGGTCACTGGGCTACAGGGATTTCTCGACAGCTAACCCCTCTAACCTATACCAATTCCTCCACTACGGAACTAGGGGAGGCTATCTGTCCCAGCTTGGTTAAGCTGGGATCCCGGCTCCCTGAGTCACCAGACCAGCTTCGTCTGGGCTCTCGGGGCCACGCCACCGGCTTGCCCTGGTCGGCCCTTATAAGGACAGCGAGCCAGGGGAGCTCTGGGGCCTATACTAGCAGGTCTTCCGTCTTCTCTGGTTAAAGCTGAGTCCCGACTCCCGAGCCTTTCGGCTCATCACCTTTTATAGGACTTGCCCCCAAGGGGGGGGCCCGTGGGGGATACACATGCGGACGTCGGTGCGAGCGCCACCCTTGTGTACGGCCGTAACCCCGCCCCTTGTGTTTGTTGGCCATCCGTGGCCATGCATAATCACACCTCTACATTCGTAGCCATGCGCAATTACACCTCTACATCACCCCCCCCTTGTACAGCTCGCAGCCGTCCCTGGCTGCAAAAAAAACGTGAATAAAGGTGCATACCTCACGAAAACCCCGTGTGTGTGCCTCGCGTAATTTTTAACAAGAACAAGAGAATCTTAACAAGAACAACAACAGGAAGAGAGAGAGAGAGAGAGAGAAAAAAAATAACCCGACGCGCTCCCCCCGAATAAACACCCCAAAACCAACATATATACACACTCCGGACGCCACCCCTCCCATTGTCCGCAAGGCCCCCCAACGGCCGACCTCACAATAGTCTGCGCGTTTTGGCGCGCGTTCTCGCGGCGGGCCCGTCACAAGGGCCCGTCCCGGCACGCTCAGTGACGGTTGTTGACGGTCCGGGTACAAGAGAGTCAGGCGTCGCTCCCGAGTGACCCCCGACCCCTCCGGGAGGGGTTGGTGGGTGTGGACCCGTCACTCCTGTTGCACCTGGGGACGGAATAGTTGATGTCAAGTTAGGCGAGCGCAGCGACGCCGGGGAGTCGGCGGAACCCTCACACGTTTGGCCATGCGTGTGTGCGTGTGAACCCCGGGGCGGCGCGATGAATGGTTTCAACCTTGAGGGGTGCACATACCACCGGCGCCTCCCCCACTTGACGCGAACACACTGCGGCCGCAAGACCTGTACGACCTCCACTGGCCCCCGCCACGGCCGTACCAATTTCGACGAGGTTGCCAGCGGCACCTGGGGACAGTGCAACCACGCCTTGTCCCCCGGTTTCCATTTTACCACCTGTACCCGCCCCAACCGAAGCCTCTCGTTCGCCTTCTGGCGGAGATCAGAATTTTGCGCGGCCGCTTCCCGCGCCTCAGACAATTTGCTGATGTTAAATTTAACGTGTTCGGACAAGTTAGACTTCGCCTGGGGCGCCGAGAGCTTGAGCTGGGTCGCCACAGGGGGGTTTGCCTCGCGCCCATACATTAAAAAGAAAGGGGAAAACCCGGTGGCCGCATGGGGAGCCATTCTGTAGGCCTGCAACACCCCGGCTATACGAAGGTCCCAATCCGTCTGGGATACAGACACCTGCTGGGACAGCATAGACGAGATGGTCCGATGCAGCCGTTCCACCATCCCGTCAGTTTGAGGGTGATACGGAGAGGTCCGAACCTTCTCCGTACCCAAGAGGTCGCACACCTCGCGTAGGAGTTTACCAGAAAAATTCCTACCCTGGTCAGTAAGCAGCCGTTCCGGAGCACCCTTGTCGAGGACATAGCCCTGGACAAAGGCCTCCGCGATGGCCGCTGCCGACTGGTTGGCCAGGGGCCAGGCCATAGGCCATCTCGTGAAGTACTCTACCCCCGTTAATAAATACCTATTTCCCCTGGGCGTAGCGGGAAATGGGCCGAGTATGTCCAGAGCGACGAGCTCGTTAACCCGGGAAACCTTTATGGACTGCAGCGGAGGGTTGGACCCCCTAGCAGGTGGCTTCCTTTGCGCGCATTGCGCGCACGACCCCAGGAGATCCCCCACGTCCTTTGCCATGCCCGGCCAGAAGAAATCTAGCTGGAGCGTGGCAAAGGTCTTGTGAATCCCCAAGTGCAGAAGCCGCTCATGAACAGCCCATACCACCTTACCCCTTAATGCTGCAGGCACCACGAGCCACTGGCGGCGGGTTTTCCCATCCCAGTGCATTAAAAGACCCTGGAACAACCCCCACGAGTCAACGTTCGCCACCCCCTGACCAGCCCCCCCGACGCGACGGCGCAGAGCGAGGAGGGAGGTGTCCTCCATTTGGAGGCGTCCCCATTCCGCGACC